TAAAATAATCTATATCCGAATAAATCGTATTATTCGATTCTTAGAGATTTCTATCAAGGAATATTAGATCATATATCGTATTATGAGATTTTAATAATTCTATGAGAATCATTATATCGATTTTGAATAATGCAAAACCAATCTAAATCGATGGCAAAAGAAAGGCACTTGGACAAGAGAGATTATATCCATGCCTCGATGCAAGAGATTAGTGCACCCAAAAGCTTCAAGTCACTACGAAATCTTCATTGAGAGAGACGTATATTCTCATGCACCGCTGAGGAGCTGACTACTGACCATCGCGGTTTGTGCAAAGTTACAATTAAAAGTGGTGCCGAGACTACACAGAAGCAACCTTGAGAAAATCTTCGGATGCCCGGGGTTGAGACGTGGCAAGCACGGCAAGTAGGAAGCGTGCCACGCACATTTTTCGGGTTTTGTTGAGGTGACAAATCACTCGAAACATCTTTGCCATCTTGTTTGGTTAGGTGAAGACTTCCATTTTGGTCACTCCTTACGAAAATCTCACGTGCCATGAAACTTCAACAATCAACCGTAGTCAAACACGCGGCACTTGCTGCGCTACCAACACCAGAAATGCGTGACTTGCTTGGTCGTGGTGTTTTTTGTTAGGGCCACGCACGCGGTCTTGATGTTTGGTGACATGAGCTGCTCCAACACGTTCTCAGGACGCTCAGAAAGAAGTTTGTGGAGGCTTTGTCTTCCAACCTCAGGGCACTCCATACAGCCAAACGGCTCCCCCTTATGGCTATGAAAAGCTCATGATTACATTGCAACAATGCTCAACCACGGCTGGCTTCTTTCTCCGGCGAGCGGTATGTCAGACTGATAGGCAGTGTAATGCCTACGGGTTTTTAGTGTTAGGAGTTACGTACTGTGCCAGCTGTAACGACTCTTGTGTGGTGGTTACCAGCAGCACTTCATCAACTATTCGGCGAAATTAAAAAATACCTCCACAAAATCCAGCGGAGCTTCTCGGGCGACTTGCTTACCGAAGCAAGCCCGTGTGGACATGTGTGGACTCTTCTAAGCAAACAAACGCAAAACTATCCGGTCGCGAATGATGCAATGGCAAAGGTAAACAAAATTGTTTGGCAATCACCGCAAAGACCTTGCCTGCAGCTTTCAAAACTTGCTCCAAGTACTGTACACTAGACAATCATGCTATCAAATGAATTCCCGATCCTTCACACATATGGCTCAGGTGGAATTGGCTTCTGCCTCAGGGAACAGTCCGGGTACGGCCCAGGACCAGGACCGGTGGCCGGACGATGGGCCGTTCTTGGAACCATAAAGCTTGATGAGTGGCATGGTACTGAGCACAATCAAAGCGAAACCAGAAGCGATGCGCATGCACCGCGGTGTAAGCATAGCCAAAGAGCATCGCGGCACGCAGCACGGCAAACAGCGGAGCTTGCTCCACAAATGCCGTGTAGATACGCCACGAAAGGGCAGCCATGTTGAGTATCTTGACAGGAACCATAGCGTGCTGCCAGCGCACTGCTTCTTGCATTCTTGGGACTTCCTGTGTGTAGTACACACGAGACGACATGTGGTTGGCAATGCTCTGCAGTCCAACGCCCACCCCCAACCAGACAACTTGCCACTGGCCTGTTGCACCAAAGTCTCCGAACTGCACCAGAAGTAAGAGAACACCCATGTGGTGATACCACAGGTCAAATGGTAGCGCAGGCCAACGACCTCGGAATCAACCAGCCCTAGGTCCTGGGCCCTTGGGATCTTTTGGGGAAATGTCACACCAGAAAATGGACTCTGAAAAATCAAGTGGCCAATCCAGTCGATCAGGTCTGCAGCACCGGCGATGATCAAACATGTGCACACCCAGAAGTGGCTGAAATCAAAGCCTGCCACAACCAAGGCACCCAGAACAATCACCCCGCTGAGAAGGATCGGAGAAGTCCAAAAACGCAGCTCACTGCCCACCACGGTCCTTTGGTGCCGCTCTGAGAGATGCTCCCAAAAAGGTTTTCTGTGTGCCTTCGCTTCTATACGCACACGGGCGATGTTCAGAATACTGCACAAAACGATGGCATAGGTGAGGCGCATGCTGATGAGAAAGTCCGCAATTCGGTTGGCCCACAGCTCAACGTCTGTGGTTTCCTCCATCGCATCCATGACGCAAATCCGAAATATGCCGTCTACAACCTGGCCCCAACTGGTGGTTTTGAGCTGCTGCAAAGGGCACAAAGGCAAGAGCCGGCTCCACAACAGCCTGATGCTTCCATTGATACGCTTACTTCTGCTCGAATGGTTGTTGTATTGGTTTTGTGCTGGAGAGTGGTCAATGCAATCGATTCGTGCAAAGAGGGCTAAACTAGTGAATCCGATCGTTTTGGGGATAAACTCGCCCAGCTCCGAGTAAGCAATGTAGTTTCAGACATGTCTGCCATGTGTACCACTGGTGTACAAAGCATTTCAGTGGATATGTATGAAAGCGAACAGTTGCCCAGGTATAAACTGGCGCACGCCATATCAACCGTCGGACACCGAGGACCAACATGCTAAGCTATAGCTTGTGCCCTTGTGCCATTGATCGATCGACCGATCTTTCCATCTATCGACTGGGCTGCCACCAGTTTGCTGCATCCCAGTGGTAGTGCACTGCGCACGAAGCTGCACACACACACACACATGTATTGAAATATTGACTGTATTATCTCTGTTCCTGTTTGTACTGTGTGTGTTTCTGTGCCTTCGTCGCGGAATCGTCTTAGATAATGTCGCTGCGGCGTACACGCATAATCATCCCGACATCTAGCCGAACAGCATTTTCCCGCGAAGGCGCCGTGGAGGCTATGGCCGCCACGCCGGTGGCGACGGCCAAAATGGACTTCTGGCCTTGACAACGACATGCAGCAGGTTTCGGGATCTCAAGGTTTGAATGGCTGTACGTGTCCTTCGCCGCATGATGGGGAGGGGCATAAGAAGAGACTTGCCTATGGATTTCGGGAGTCTTCACGGCCTGGAATCAACATCTCTTCTACCATCACCACACGACCAGGCTCGTTTGCTGTATGATGTTCACAAACCTCAAAAACGCCAAAGTTTGAAACCATGCTTTGCCTTTGACGGCAAGAGAAGGGCACACGTGCACCACTGAGGAGCTAGCTGCCGGCCATCGCGGTTTGTGCAAAGCTACAATTAAAACTGGTGCCGAGACTGCACAGAAGCACCTTGAGAAAATCTTCGGATGCCGGGGTTGCCAGCTGCTAAGCGTGCTAGACGTGGCAAGCACGGCAAGTAGGAAACGTGCCATGCACGTTTTTTTGGCTTTGTTGAGGTGACAAATCATTCGTAACATCTTTGCCGTCTTGTCTGGCTAGGTGAGGACTTCCATTTTGGCCACTCCTTGCGGAAATCTCACGTGCCATGAAACTTCAACAATCAACCGTGGTCAAACACGCGGCACTTGCTGCGCTACCAACACCAGAAATGCGTGACTTGCTTGGTCGTGGTGCTTTTTGCTAGGGCCACGCACGCGGTCTTGATGTTTGGTGACATGAGCTGCTCCAACACGTTCTCAGGACGCTCAGAAAGAAGTTTGTGGAGGCTTTGTCTTCCAACCTCAGGGCACTCCATACAGCCAAACGGCTCCCCCTTCATGGCTATGAAAAGCTCATGATTGCATTGCAACAATGCTCAACCACGGCTGGCTTCTTTCTCCGGCGAGCGGTATGTCAGACTGATAGGCAGTGTAATGCCTACGGGTTTTTCGTGTTAGGAGTTACGTACTGTGCCAGCTGTAACGACTCTTGTGTGGTGGTTACCAGCAGCACTTCATCAACTATTCGGCGAAATTAAAAAATACCTCCACAAAATCCATCGGAGCTTCTCGGGCGACTTGCTTACCGAAGCAAGCCCGTGTGGACATGTGTGGACTCTTCTAAGCAAACAAACGCAAAACTATCCGGTCGCGAATGATGCAATGGCAAAGGTAAACAAAATTGTTTGGCAATCACCGCAAAGACCTTGCCTGCAGCTTTCAAAACTTGCTCCAAGTACTGTACACTAGACAATCATGCTATCAAATGAATTCCCGATCCTTCACACATATGGCTCAGGTGGAATTGGCTTCTGCCTCAGTGGCATGGTACTGAGCGCAATCAAAGCGAAACCAGAAGCGATGCGCATGCACCGCGGTGTAGGCATAGCCAAAGAGCATCGCGGCACGCAGCACGGCAAACAGCGGAGCTTGCTCCACAAATGCCGTGTAGATACGCCACGAAAGGGCAGCCATGTTGAGTATCTTGACAGGAACCATAGCGTGCTGCCAGCGCACTGCTTCTTGCATTCTTGGGACTTCCTGTGTGTAGTACACACGAGACGACATGTGGTTGGCAATGCTCTGCAGTCCAACGCCCACCCCCAACCAGACAACTTGCCACTGGCCTGTTGCACCAAAGTCTCCGAACTGCACCAGAAGTAAGAGAACACCCATGTGGTGATACCACAGGTCAAATGGTAGCGCAGGCCAACGACCTCGGAATCAACCAGCCCTAGGTCCTGGGCCCTTGGGATCTTTTGGGGAAATGTCACACCAGAAAATGGACTCTGAAAAATCAAGTGGCCAATCCAGTCGATCAGGTCTGCAGCACCGGCGATGATCAAACATGTGCACACCCAGAAGTGGCTGAAATCAAAGCCTGCCACAACCAAGGCACCCAGAACAATCACCCCGCTGAGAAGGATCGGAGAAGTCCAAAAACGCAGCTCACTGCCCACCACGGTCCTTTGGTGCCGCTCTGAGAGATGCTCCCAAAAAGGTTTTCTGTGTGCCTTCGCTTCTATACGCACACGGGCGATGTTCAGAATACTGCACAAAACGATGGCATAGGTGAGGCGCATGCTGATGAGAAAGTCCGCAATTCGGTTGGCCCACAGCTCAACGTCTGTGGTTTCCTCCATCGCATCCATGACGCAAATCCGAAATATGCCGTCTACAACCTGGCCCCAACTGGTGGTTTTGAGCTGCTGCAAAGGGCACAAAGGTAAGAGTCGGCTCCACAACAGCCTGATGCTTCCATTGATACGCGTACTTCTGCTCGAATGGTTGTTGTATTGGTTTTGTGCTGGAGAGTGGTCAATGCAATCGATTCGTGCAAAGAGGGCTAAAATAGTGAATCCGATCGTTTTGGGGATAAACTCGCCCAGCTCCGAGTAAGCAATGTAGTTTCAGACATGTCTGCCATGTGTACCACTGGTGTACAAAGCATTTCAGTGGATATGTATGAAAGCGAACAGTTGCCCAGGTATAAACTGGCGCACGCCATATCAACCGTCGGACACCGAGGACCAACATGCTAAGCTATAGCTTGTGCCCTTGTGCCATTGATCGATCGACCGATCTTTCCATCTATCGACTGGGCTGCCACCAGTTTGCTGCATCCCAGTGGTAGTGCACTGCGCACGAAGCTGCACACACACACACATGTATTGAAATATTGACTGTATTATCTCTGTTCCTGTTTGTACTGTGTGTGTTTCTGTGCCTTCGTCGCGGAATCGTCTTAGATAATGTCGCTGCGGCGTACACGCATAATCATCCCGACATCTAGCCGAACAGCATTTTCCCGCGAAGGCGCCGTGGAGGCTATGGCCGCCACGCCGGTGGCGACGGCCAAAATGGACTTCTGGCCTTGACAACGACATGCAGCAGGTTTCGGGATCTCAAGGTTTGAATGGCTGTACGTGTCCTTCGCCGCATGATGGGGAGCGGCATAAGAAGAGACTTGCCTATGGATTTCGGGAGTCTTCACGGCCTGGAATCAACATCTCTTCTACCATCACCACACGACCAGGCTCGTTTGCTGTATGATGTTCACAAACCTCAAAAACGCCAAAGTTTGAAACCATGCTTTGCCTTTGACGGCAAGAGAAGGGCACACGTGCACCACTGAGGAGCTAGCTGCCGGCCATCGCGGTTTGTGCAAAGCTACAATTAAAACTGGTGCCGAGACTGCACAGAAGCACCTTGAGAAAATCTTCGGATGCCGGGGTTGCCAGCTGCTAAGCGTGCTAGACGTGGCAAGCACGGCAAGTAGGAAACGTGCCATGCACGTTTTTTTGGCTTTGTTGAGGTGACAAATCATTCGTAACATCTTTGCCGTCTTGTCTGGCTAGGTGAGGACTTCCATTTTGGCCACTCCTTGCGGAAATCTCACGTGCCATGAAACTTCAACAATCAACCGTGGTCAAACACGCGGCACTTGCTGCGCTACCAACACCAGAAATGCGTGACTTGCTTGGTCGTGGTGCTTTTTGCTAGGGCCATGCACGCGGTCTTGATGTTTGGTGACATGAGCTGCTCCAACACGTTCTCAGGACGCTCAGAAAGAAGTTTGTGGAGGCTTTGTCTTCCAACCTCAGGGCACTCCATACAGCCAAACGGCTCCCCCTTCATGGCTATGAAAAGCTCATGATTGCATTGCAACAATGCTCAACCACGGCTGGCTTCTTTCTCCGGCGAGCGGTATGTCAGACTGATAGGCAGTGTAATGCCTACGGGTTTTTCGTGTTAGGAGTTACGTACTGTGCCAGCTGTAACGACTCTTGTGTGGTGGTTACCAGCAGCACTTCATCAACTATTCGGCGAAATTAAAAAATACCTCCACAAAATCCATCGGAGCTTCTCGGGCGACTTGCTTACCGAAGCAAGCCCGTGTGGACATGTGTGGACTCTTCTAAGCAAACAAACGCAAAACTATCCGGTCGCGAATGATGCAATGGCAAAGGTAAACAAAATTGTTTGGCAATCACCGCAAAGACCTTGCCTGCAGCTTTCAAAACTTGCTCCAAGTACTGTACACTAGACAATCATGCTATCAAATGAATTCCCGATCCTTCACACATATGGCTCAGGTGGAATTGGCTTCTGCCTCAGGGAACAGTCCGGGTACGGCCCAGGACCAGGACCGGTGGCCCTTGGAACCATACAGCTTGATGAGTGGCATGGTACTGAGCGCAATCAAAGCGAAACCAGAAGCGATGCGCATGCACCGCGGTGTAGGCATAGCCAAAGAGCATCGCGGCACGCAGCACGGCAAACAGCGGAGCTTGCTCCACAAATGCCGTGTAGATACGCCACGAAAGGGCAGCCATGTTGAGTATCTTGACAG